GCATCAAATTCATGTCTAGTCCAAGACTAATTGAAGCAGAATTACCCCCACCCACTGTTAAAAATTCAAATACCTGGGCCTCATCCCAGGCCTAGTGAAGAGAACTCTCTAGGTGTGGGTCTTGGAATTGGCAGTTTAAAAGTTTTCCAGGGCATTCTTTTCACCAACTATTTTTATCTCAGTGCCTTTCACAAATCAGCTTTCAAAATGGTACTTACTTTCCAGGAACATGCAATCTCACTTCACACATTAGATATATTCTTGAAAAGTTGTTAAGTGAGTACTTCCCCTAAAGACTGTAATGATTAATTTCAGAATTACGTTCACCCAGAAGGAAACAAATAAGCTACTGGAGCATTCTGTCTTTAAACAAACATTCTTTATCCACTTAATTTTTCTGTATTACTTATGCAAGTGGATAGCCAAATGGGCTTATAATCCTCATTATCTTTCTTCAATTTAAAAGCACATATATTTAAAAATTTGATATATTAACACATTTCATTTTGATTTTGAATTGATTTCACTGGAATTAATTGGTTAAGTACCACAATCAAGTGGCATTTAGCAGAACTCACAGGCAGGAAAGTGCCTCAGTGAGACATTTTTCAGAAAAATACAAATACTGAAGTTTATGGTTTGGACTCTTAATAGCAAAGATATCCCTTTATGTGGTGAGTTCTGCTAACAAAATTTTTTGTCAATTTATTACCAACTGATAACCAAGAAGTATGAGATATGAATCTATTCTATTCTAAGATGGAAATGATAGCTAACAACAATAAACTATAGAAGCTAACATTTATTCACTTGCCTCATATCAGGCTCTGTTCTAGATCCTCCGCATGGCTTACTCATTTCATCTTGACTAACCCTGTGAAGTACCATGTAGACCTAATTTCCCCAGTGGCGAAGCTGAGGTACAGAGAGCTGTTTAACTTTCCTGAGGTCCCACAAAACTAGAAATAGAAGCTGAAATAGGCTGCCAGTCTCTACAGTTTGTACTCAGTGTGCTACATAGTGATTGTAAGAAAGTCTCAGGCCTTGAAGAAGTTAGCTGCTTTGTGGAGAGAAAGACTTCCTATTGTTTACACTCTGGAATGTTTCCTACCCTGTTCTGTTCTGTTCTTTTCTTCCTTCCTTCCTTCCTTTCTCGAGAGAGAGAGAGAAAGAGAATCTTAAGCAGGCTCCATGCCCTGCTGGAGCTGGAGCCTGACATGGGGCTCGATCTCACAACTGTGGGATCATGACCTGAGCCAAAATCAAGAGTTGGATGCTTAACCAACTGAGCCACCCAGGCGCCCCTCCTCCTACTCTTTACACAATTGATTTTCAGATAACTTGGGTCTACATGGGATCCCTGCTCATATTTACTTATCAGATCTCATTATAATACTCTTTATATATGATAGGAATACCCAAAATAGCATAAAGATGAGAATTCAGTATTACACTGTAGAAAAAAATAGAAATCAGTTTTAAAAAAATTTATTCTGTATATAAGGGCAGGAGAGCATAGTGGTTTAGAACTATGCTCTCAAATGTAATGAACTAATAATCTAGGAATTTGTTAAAAATGTAGATTTTCAGTAGGTCTGGGGTGGGGCCTGAGATTTTGCAATTCTAACAAGTTCCCAGGTAATGGGTCCCTGTGGTCCAGGGACCACATTTTGAGTAGTGAGGGTTTGGTATGCAAGCTTTGGAGTCACATTGCTGGTGTGTGACTTCCAGCTCCATTACTAACTAGTTTTGTAACCTTCTTGTGAGCCTCTACCACATCTGTAAAATAGTGAGATCATTAAAGTGTTGTTATGAGGATTACATGAGATAATCCATAGATAATATGCAGAATAGCTGCTGGCATATGGAAAGCACTCAATAAATATTAACACTTAATATTACAGAAAACTATTAAAAGCATATATTGTAAGTCATTAGAAAGTCATTTATAGAACTGACTGATATAGCAGAAACACTAAATTTCATCATTCTTTCCCAGGCAGTCACTAGAACATCACTGTACATCAATGGACATTAAATATATAAGTTAGATCCACTACCCAGCTTTATTAAATACATAAATCTGAAACTGCTCTAAATGAATTTACACGAAGCTGGCTTGGCTTATAATATTTAAAAAGAATATTTTGTTTCTCTGCCAGAAAACTTTTTTGTATCGCAGGTGTACAGTGAGTTCTAATTCATTTATTTGAATAGCTTCCTCTGAATTTAGAAACAGTCATTTTTGTTTAAAACTTTTCATTTTTATCAAATCAAAATCAGAACTAATATTAGTATGAATAATAATGTTTTTAAAAATTTGTTTGGGGTGGCTGGCTGGCTGAATTGGTGGAGCATGCAACTCTTGATCTCGGGATTGTGAGTTTGAGCCCCATGTAGGGTATAGAGCTTACTTACAAATAAAATCTTTAAAAAAGGGGGGGGCATTTGTTATTCTGGGGAAAAAAAAAGTTGTTCAGACAAGGGCACCAGTATAGTATAAATGGGTTTAAAGGATTTAGCCCAAACCTTCACAAACGTACACATTTTCAAACCACTACACAATGCAGCATAATTCCCTCTCATTGTTGAAGATGGGCTTCAAAAGAATATTACTTGTTGGAACTGTGATGATTTAATAATGATGTGATATGGGAGGGTCCAGTGGGTAGGAAAAGTAAAGCTAGGACTAGAAGTGAAGATAAAATTTCATAGCATCAACCCAAATGAAAACTATTAAAAATTTCTAAAATTCAACACTGCTTGAAAAATAGAGATAGAAGGAATGGAGTGGAATACACTAGAAAAGAAAGATTAATGTTTGCTCAGTCACTGATAAAAACCAGGAAAGGTAAAACCTGGTGGTTCAATCAAGGAGGAGATGAGACTTACGTGGTATTTTAGGTTGGTCAGTATCTTTGAGTCAGCAAGAAAAGATCAATAGGTAATTTGCTTCTCTTTTATTCTTTCGTATCTCTCACAGAGGTAATGAAAAAGACAACTACGGGACAGATTCTAATATGTTTATTTTTCTAAATTAAAACCAGATTCAGCATAGGGGCACCTGGGTGGCTCAGCTGGTTAAGCGTCTGCCTTAGACACAAGTCATGATCCCAGGGTCCTGGGATCGAGCCCCGCATCGGGCTCCCTGCTCAGCGGGGAGCCTGTGTCTCCCTCCCCACCCCCCACTCATGCTCACTGGAGCGCACGCACGCTCTCTGTCAAATAAATAAAATCTTAAAAAAACAAAAACAAAAAAACAACCAACTAGATTCAGCATAGACATTGCAGACCTGAGCTGTGAGATCATGACAGTTAAGAATCCAGGAAAAGAGAGGAATGTGGGTGAATAAATTACTGTTTCCCTCCTCCTTCTCCTTTTGCTCTTCCCCTGCAGAATGCTCCTCGTTGCTCCTTTAATGAGCGGTGGGGTACTAGAAAATTTTTTAACACACAACATACCATATTTTACTTCAGATTTTACTTTCTATAACAAGTTTATTTTTTAAAAAAACCAAGATTTTGTCCCACCCCCAGAAAATCTGCATACAAGTGTTTTATAAAAGGACTGCCACATGAAGTTTTAAGGCAGGCTACATATACTCAAGTACATTGAATAAAGATTATTCAAATGAAATAACCATCATGCTTAACTTGTACTTTTAGTGAAAAAAATATCAAGCGTGGGAATTGTGATTTTCAACATCTAGAGAGGTGATAAACAACAAGATCCAATGGTTAGGATGAGAGGGATGGGAAGAATAGACTGTAAACACAGAATTATATCAACATCTCATGTCTTGTTTCTTCGGTCTATACTAGTCTGAATCAAATTCCTGAAAAAAAAAACAGAAGTTTACTAAAATGCCTGAGCTAACTTTTCCACTTACGAGGCAGGTACTACCTGTCTTTCGACAGCAGAGTAGCAAGGAATTCCACTTCATTGTGACCTATTTCTGCCTCTTAGATTTATCATATGCATTTTTTAATGACCCCAAACCAAAGGAAATGTAGAAACCTATTTGAAAAGCTGACATTAAGGTTATGACACCAACCAAAACAACAAGAGAATTTAAAGTTAAATTGACACACCATCCCCAAATGAGTCTGTTGCACTCCTAATTTAAAAAACAGTTTCTATGTGAATATAGTGATGGTATGTCAGTGTCTGCTTTGAAACTCCTGAATTTTGTCATTTGGTGTTTGTGTCACAACCTTAATATTATTTAAATATACTTTTTAATATCTATTATTTAAAAAATATCTTTGAATTGAAGATACTCCTAAAGCTTTGAAGAAGCCAACCTCAAAGCACTGCATTCCTAGCATGCCACTTTTATTAGAAGTGGTGCATAAAACATTTGCTGTTGACAAATCTAATTCATTAAAAGGTGAGATGGATGCATTTTAAAGTAACTGGCTGGCATCATTATCTGCAGCACCTTTTATAAATTATTCCTCTTTTCCCTTTTGACTGAACTTGTCACAGTTCCCTTTCAGAGTCTGAATGTTATGCCTTAGAGTCAATGCTTTCAACATGTTTAGACAAGTCATAAGTTAAACAAGCAGGGGTACTTTATTTTCTAGAAATGAGAAAAAGGAGAAATACTTACAGATTATTTCATTCGATTCATTGATTTTTAACTAAAGACAAGTAAAGTCAGTTAGTGGTGGTTTTATCCCACACAAAGGATTTAAAAATAAAACTCTACTGTTTGGGTTGAAGACAGCATTTTAAAGAAAGGTACATAAAGAGAGAAGCTGGCAGCCCTGCTGCACTGTTGTGCAGAAGACTCAGTTTTAAATTGAATTGTGCTTCTCCTGACATGGGAGATCAGGTACATCATAAGGCTGACAGCTGGCTGGCACAGTAACTTTCTCAAGGAAAATGCTAACTGTATTTCTCTTGGAGGCCAAAGGAATAGAATTATAGAAGCCTTCAAGGAGACAGAGCAGGCAGAGAACAAATTATTCAAAATACGAAGAAAAACATTTCTTACCTAATTTTGTTTCCGAAGACTCTAAGAATGAGCTGGTCTTCCAATCCCAAATAAGTGGAAAATTATTTCCTTCCAGGTGGTCAGTAGAAGAGCTGCCCTTTATTATCCTCTGCTGAGGTTTTTTTTCCCCCCAACATATACAAAATACACCTATAAAATAATTAGATAAAACTTAATCACTGTCACCATGGAGAGGGTAGAGTCACATTACTTGTCTACATTGGTAGTGACATTATTATCATTAAGTTCTGACATACAGGCAGGGGTCGAGAGTTGTTGGAAATGTATAAAGGCATGCTAAAGTTGGGGTACCTAAGAAAAGCTTATTAACAAGATGATCCATAGGTTATAGGCACATGAGTAACAGAGGCACCTAGGAAAATGTACATTCAAAACATCCCTTTCCTTATCACTGATTTTTCAAATGTTCCTCAATAAATGTAGATTATACAGAGTAAAGGATGGATGCAGCACATAAAACAAGCAATGCCTTTCAATACAATTCCTTTTTTCCTGTTTAGTTACCAGTTTAGTTTCCAGAACAGTTTATTAAAACCAGTTTTTTTCTCATTCCTCTGGATTATCTTGTTAAAATAGTTTCTGGTTCAGTTGACCAGTGGTTGGCGTCTGGGATTCTGTATTTCTAAGAAGGCTCTAGGTAATGCCACCAATGCTGTGGAGCCATGGACCACTCTTTTGCCAATCTATTTGTCTTTCCCTCCATCAAAGTACACTTGCTATTTTTGATGACTGGCCCTTTGTCTTTCCATATAATTTTAGAACCTACTGTCCAGTATTCTCCCTTCCCCACCAAAACAAGACAGTAATTTGAGACTGTGTTGATTAAATTGAGCATCTATAAAACGTTGATTTTTGCAAGCCATGTGTATGGTATATCATTCCACTTCTGAGTCCTTATTATCACACAATAATGCTTTACTATCTTCCCCATGGGAGTTTCGTATATCTCTTGTTATGTTAGATGTATTCCTAGGAACTTCATATTTTCAACGTTAGCGTAAACAGTATCTCTTTGCAAAAACTTTTCATTTTTTGTTTAAATATGTATTTGTATAATTTTTGTATACTGATGTTCTTATCCAGGATATTTGCCAAACTCTTATTCTTATATTTTTTCTTTAGTTTTACATCATACACAAATACATTTACTTCTTTGTTCCAAAACCTATGCTTTTTATTCTTTGTTGCCTTACTAAAGGAAAAAAGTTAAACAATAAATGAATTATTTAATAGAAAAGACTATTTTGTTATCTTTAATCAGCAAAACTGATCTCTTGGTTAGGCCTCCATTGACTAGAAAACTGCTATGAAGAAGATTCCAAATGTTTCTTTTGACATTTATTGATTGTCCTCATTCTTCTTGCCTTTCTCTGGTGGTTAATATGCAAGCACGTAAATGTTACTAACATCCACTATCCCACACTGACTTCCAGTTGTTATTTCATCAGAAACAAACACCCTCATAGTCAACTTGGCCACTCTAGGAACTGAATTTGAACAAAAGGGGAAACAGGAATTTAAAAAGAGAAATGGTTCAGTTCCATCTAAGAACTAAGATGAAGATGTCAAGCTAGGATGCCATTACAGAGATACAACATGTCATCTACACTTCATAGCTGAAATCACAAGACTTCTTGGAAAACCCATAAATAATTGAAATTGCCTTTTTGATGACGATGCCAGCCTGCTCCAGGGCAAAATGCCCTTCTTGATAGCTTTCAGCCAATCAGCTTGACCAAAGGAAAAACATTAAGATTTCCTGCTTCACAAACTGTCAATGTTATCATTGGTTACCTGAGGAAAGGTAAATGGCATGATGGTGGGAAGGTGAAAGGGTAAAAGAAAGGGGAGGTATTAACTAAAATATAATAACCACTGTAATCATGAAAACACAACAAACTGCTTCTTTAAAAATGTGTTCATATACCACTATAAACAATAATTATAAAGACTTATAGCAATGTAGAAAATGCTTAAATGGTGAAATGAAAACAGGACCCAAGAGAGCATGTACGCATTCTATTGCAACTGTTTAAAAATATGTGGACAAGGAGCGCCTGGCTGGCTCCACTGGTGAAGCATGCGACTCTTAATCTTGGGGTCCTGAGTTTGAGCCCCACGTTGGGGTAGAGCTTTACTTTAAAAAAATTAAAAAATATACGGACAATATTTTTGGTTAGGAAGATCAATCAGCATGCATTTCCCCCTCCCCCAGAGGCCCCCTTGAAAGATAATAAAGGTATGTGTTGGTTGGGGGAGAGGATGTAAACCATTACAATGAAGAGACTAAAAAAGTCATCACTACAAATTTATGCAAAGTGACAGATGGAAGAGCATTCATGGAAGAAATACAGCAGGAAAAGTCAAACTCTAGAATGTGTGCAGAGAGTGCTGCAATTAAAGGAATGGCCTGATAACCCTGACAGAAGTGTGGAGTAAGAAATGAAGCTAAAATATCCTGAATCTCCCTCTCCTACCTTTTTGTACAAGCAAGAATGTACTTTGTCTTTTACTTGTTCAGAGTTAAATATCTGACTGCGAGTAAGAAAAAAGTAAGTAGATGGGAGAAGTGCTGTGTTTGAAAGAAATGAATTAATAGCCTAGAAAACGAGGAAACGCAGTATGGGTATGGATACCCCCAAAGAAAAGCTGGCCACATTCCGGCCTTTAGCTGACTTCCAGCATACTTGAATTTCTCTTTTCTAGTATGAATGCACCAGCCAAGAGCCACTGGGCATTTGAAGAAAATCTTTCTTTTTCCACATTTGAGATCAATATGAAACAAAATTTACCCCAAGAAAAACAGAGACAAAATAATTAATAGAACATGTAAATTTTCCATCACTGTTAAGAGAGTAAAGGAAAAAAAAATGCATACATGATACAAAACCAGAAGTAGGACTTCCAGCTATGGCTGAGTGCAATCAGCAAATATTCTCCCAAAAAGAAACTAAAGAGCCAGACAAAATTGACAAATACAATCATTTCAGTGCTCTAGAAATTGACCAAAGGGATATAACAATTTGAGAAGCATGTTTATTTGAAAGACTGCTAATCTTTGGATAAGAACATTAGGACCCTGTGACATTCTGGTCTGCCCTCTTATCACCATCAAACACAATTCAGTCAGTACAGAGGTTCTTCCAGGGTGGGGAAGATCATTAAGACTGGAAACATCTTGGGTGCCTGGGTGGCTCAGTTGGTTAAGCATCTGTGTTCAACTCAGGTCATGATCCCAGGGTGCTGGGATTGAGCCCCACATCAGGCTCCCTTGCTCAGCAGGGAGCCTGCTTCTCCCTCTCCCTCTGCCTGCTGCTCCCCCTGCTTGTGCTCTCTCTCTTTCTCTATCAAATGAATAAATAAAATCTTAAAAAAAAAAAAAAAAGACTGGAAACATCTTTGTTGTGGTCAAAGGGGGGGTAACTTGAACTTCAGCGGCAGGTTATGCCCACGTCCAACAGTGTTTCAGTGGAAGTGATGATCTTAGAAACCGGCAAGCAGGGAGAGTAAACAGCTCCATTAATCCAAGGTCATGGTCATAACTGGGGCAGACATATTCTTGGCTAAGGTTGAGAGAATACGCAATGGAGACCAGAGGGGAACAAAGCTAGTCACATATTCCTGAGGCCAAATAATCACGTACATAGAGCAAATGTGAAAGAACCCAGCAGAGAGCGAAAGCCAGAACACACCTGAAAACAATGTAAACTTTAAATGCATGCCTCTACCACTACAAAGATCCATGAATAGATGACAAAAGACTTACTGATTCTATGTGTTTAAACACAAGGAGTATCCAACAATCAGCTTATAATTTAAGATACACAGACTCAGGAGCAAGTCCTAGAAAGCCAAATGCAAAACTCAAAACAAAAATATTAAAAATCAAAAACAAAAACAAAAAAAACCAGATTTATCAGTGCCACACATCACAAGGGAGACAGATGTCACTATACTTAGTTTAGGCAAATTCCTAAACCAAGAAACAAGCAAATGAACAAAGTAACGACAACCTTAAGGGAGGAAAAAAATCAGAATCCAGAGTTGCTACAATAGCTGATCTAAAATATCCCGTTTTCAACAAATTATGAAACATGCAAAGAAATAGGGGAAACCATTTGAGTGTCCCTAAATGTTAGATTTAAACAAAGACTTCAAAGCAGTTATTATCAATATGTTCAAAGAACCAAAGGTATCTTACTTAAAGAATGAAACGAAAGTAAGACAACAATAAATAAGAGATTCTCAACAAGGAAACAGAAATTAAAAAAAAAAAATCAAATGGAAATTTTGAAGTGGAAAAGTATAATCAGAAAATTTACCAGAGATGGGGGGGCCTTGGGTGGCTCAGTCACTTAAGCATCCAACTCTTGATTTCTGCTTAGGTCATGATCTCAGGGTCGTGGGATTAAGCCCTGTATGGCATCCGGCTCCAAGCTCAGTGGGGAGTCTGCTTGAGATTCTCTCCCTCTCCCTCCCCCCACTCATGCTCTCTCTCTCTAAAATAAATAAATCTTAAAAAAAAAATCCACTAGAGGGAATTGACAACAGATTCAAGATAACCTGATGAAAGAATCAGTGACTCTAAAACAGATGAATAGAAATTACCCAATCTAAAGAAAAGATTAAAAAAATGTTTTTTAAATGAACAAAGACTCTGTTGAATCACAGACCTGTACCTCTGAAACAAATAATACATTATATGTTAAAAAAAAAAAAAAGAAGAAGAAGAAGATAGGAGGAAGGGAAAAATGAAGGGGGGAAATCAGAGGAGGAGACGAACCACGAGAGACGACGGACTCTGAGAAACAAACTGAGGATTCTAGAGGGGAGAGGGGTGGGGGGATAGGTTAGCCTGGTGATGGGTATTAAAGAGGGCACGTACTGAATGGAGCTCTGGGTGTTATACTCAAACAATGAATCATGGAACACTACATCAAAAACTAATGATGTAATGTATGGTGATTAACATAATAAAATAAAATAAAATAAAATAAAAAAATAAATAAATGAACAAGGACTCGGAGACATTTGGGACAATCAAGACCATATCAAGGAACATGTAATGAGGGGCTCCTGGGTGACTCAGCAAGTTAAGTGTCTGCCTTTGGCTCAGGTCATGATCCAGG